CTGCACACCGGCCTATCTGCACACCTGCCTATCTGCACATCGGCTTATCTGCACACCTGCCTATCTGCATACGTGCCTATCTGCATACGTGCCTATCTGCATACGTGCCTATCTGCATACGTGCCTATCTGCATACATGCCTCCACACCGGCATATCTGCATACCTGCCAAATGCATAACTGCCTATCTGCATAACTGCCTATCTGCATAACTGCCTATCTGCATAACTGCCTATCTGCATAACTGCCTATCTGCATAACTGCCTATCTGCATAACTGCCTATCTGCATAACTGCCTATCTGCATAACTGCCTATCTGCATAACTGCCTATCTGCATAACTGCCTATCTGCATAACTGCCTATCTGCATAACTGCCTATCTGCATACCTGCCTATCTGCATACCTGCTTGTCTGCATACCTGCCTGTCTGCATACCTGCCTGTCTGCATACCTGCCTGTCTGCATACCTGCCTGCCTATCTGCATACCTGCCTATCTGCCTATCTGCATACCTGCCTATCTGCCTATCTGCATACCTGCCTATCTGCCTATCTGCATACCTGCCTATCTGCCTATCTGCATACCTGCCTACACTGCCTATCTGCATACCTGCCTATCTGCATACCTGCCTATCTGCATACACCTGCCTATCTGCATACCTGCCTACACACTTAATAATGTGTAAAGCTGTCAGTCAGACAAACATGTGAACATATATTTACGCAGGCAGTATAGGATAACATACCGTGTAACAAAATTATTAATCTAGTAATGAAAGTCGGACTAAAGTTATTCTGCCTTCTGTACCCAAAGAAGCATAGACCCTTAAACAACTAATGTCAGGTCGATCTATTCTTCACTGTTGCATGCAGTTGTCTGTGTCTTTTTAACTACGCTCTTTAGCTGCCTTCTGCATGTTGTGTTTGGTCTGCCTTAACTTCTGTGCCCCTGTGGTGCAAAGACATTCTAGTTGTATTGTTCTCAAGTTTTCTCGGCATGTGTCCTTTCCAGCACCAACGTCTTTTGTTCATCTCTTGGTCCACTGGAACTTTGGTTCCTTCCCAAAGCTCAATGTTAGTGATTCTTCCACCGTTTAATTCCCTCTGTTCTGACTAATAGAAGTTAATTGCGAGACAACAGCAAAGAGGGCATTTTGAGAGACAAAACTGTCACATTAAAATATGCAGCCGTGCATGTGAGAGAGAGAGAGAGAGAGAGAGAGAGAGAGAGAGAGAGAGAGAGAGAGAGAGAGAGCAGAGAGAGTGTGTGTGTGTGGGTGAGAGAGAATGTGTGTGTGTGTTTGTCTAGACTCCTTTCCGCAAGCGACGAAGAAAGTCGCTATGACATGAATAGGCAGTATTACAGTTAAAGCAAAAGTACACAACAATTACTTAGCCGAAGTCTCTTCAGAAAAATCCACATATCTTGTCAGTTAAAACTCTGAGACACGTTTGAATATAGGACATGGATGCTAGCCAGAAATACAGGTGGCGAAGAAGGGTCGTAACTGGAAGTATTTTAGGTAAAGCTATGTTGGACATTAAGCTCTTTAGGCGAGTTGAAGCCCATTAGATAGAAAAAAGCAGGTCACAAGAGACTGACGGACTCTGCCACTGCAGTGTCTAGACGATGGCCAAAAACGCCTCTTGACAGTGAGAACAGAAATGCTTCGACAAGGGGTTGACAGATGTTGCCTGAACCTCTCAACTTGTCGTCGTCCTGTTTCTTCGATGCACTTTCCTATATATTTTGCAGAAAATGGCGTAAATTACATTAGGGCTTGCACAATAGAATCCCTTACGTATGTTAAATGTGACATTAGGGAATGCCAAACTATCCGCCTATGATTTGTTTGCAGTACCGTGACAGATCCAGTCTTGTGACGTCACACGTTGTCTACAGAACAGTTGTAAATACAGTATCGTAATTGCATGTCAACTGTTCAGTTAGTTGTTCACGACCTTGATTCCAGGCTCTTCTTATTTTCGAAATCTGCAACGGACTCCCTATTTGTTAATTCATGTATAAATTAAAAAAGTATTGCATTGTTTAGATTTTTTTTTTTTCAACTGGAAAAGTGTTGTTGGGTGTTATGATGATCCCTTAAATTTGTTCCGCTGATCCCCGGGAGTCCATGTCTTTGTGCCATGTACAGACCCGAAAGTACCTCCTTTCCGAAATGGCAACTTACCGCTGACGCTCTAAAAAGTTGTTTCTGGCCAATGTTTGGTGAATCTAATTTTCCACTTCTAGACTAGGAGTAGAAAGGTTCTGTTGCCCAGCTATTGAGTTGGTGTTGGTGCGACACTGTGAGCTGTGAATTTCCATGTGGGATGTTGGTTTCTTGTTTATGTTGCAGGGGGCGACAGCTTTCTGTTGTTAACTGACTGCTCTACAAAGGGCGAATGACCGATTGCTATAAGAGTGACAGGTGCTTGTGCACAATTCTGTGTGCAATGAAGGTTTTCGCAACTGTCTGCTTTGCATCAAAAGTGAGCACAATTCTGGTGTGGGATTGGTGTTGTTGGCAGATCTGAGAGCCACGCATTGATTTTGCGTGTGCGAGCTTCAAGATGTTGCTGGGACTAACTTTGTTAAAACTAGTCTTGAAATGGGAGAGTCTGCAGTTAAGTTGAAACCTTGACTAATAGGGCTGAATTGCTTGCTATTAAAAAAAAAACACACACACCAATGAACGAAGAAAATATTTGCTGCGCTTAGTTTTGTGAAATGATACCGCCACGAACATCACGCATACATTGCCGTAGACGGCGCTAATGAGAAGTTCATTTAAATCTCCTTATATGACCTCATTCTTGGTGACCTTTCGTGACATTTAAAAATGTGACCTTATACTATTCTGGATGAAGCATTTCGCCTGCGACACGTTACCGGTGTATGGTTTTCCTGTGTTGTCATGTTGTGATGTCGCTTAATTGAGAAAGTAGTAATTTTCTCGAATCAGGGTTACAGTTGTGATATAAAGTGTTTATCAAGTTGTCAGGGTACATATATTTGTTATCTAATGTATCGCGTAATAATTTTAAAGACAGTTATGTAAAATGTAATGTTCTTCTTTCTACTTTCGTTTGCTTGAAATAGATTATCTATGTCCGCAATGTAGTATGAACTTCACTGTTCCGTGTTCCAGTGCATGATTTCGAGACAAGATCAGTTTGCAGATATAGGTATTATTTCCTATAGCGTTTGTGAACATTGTTTCCCATATTGCTTTGTGCAAACCTTTTTTGGTTGTGATTAAGACATAAATTATGTGAAAATGTAGACAATCTTAGTAACATTGATCGATTAAAATAGTGGATTTCTTACGCCCTTAGTATAATAGCTAGAGAGTAAAGTTAAAAAGATGGGGGAGGACATGGAGAGAGCTGCCTGCAACAGGGAAGGATAAAACGACTTGGCGTGAGTTAGATAGCGGGCTATGTTCCATTGGGGGTTACAAAGGCAGAAGAATAGGGAAGGAAGGAAGGAAGAAGAAGAATTGATTATCCTCGTAATCTTTAGAAGAAATGTCTGCAAAGATGGCATGGACATTCCGTACCCATCTAAATATGGAGTCGTTGTAATAAATAGGGAGAAAAGAGAAAGGTTGGGGGGGGGGGGGGGGGGGTGAATAGTCAAGCCGCTTGCGTCGTTGACTGAAGGTCGGGGAGTTCGTTTCCCGGCGGCGTCGTTCCTCTTCACTGGAGCACTTTTGTGTGTACGGAAACCTCTGAAGATCATCGCTGGAACTACCGAGATCATACTTTGTGTTACACTGTCGTAGGCGGCTAGCCGTTCTACGGAGACAGACGGAGTTACATGGGAGAATTCCTGATGCAGTGACATCCATCATCTTGCCTTTAGTGGCTGTAACAACTTTACGAAAGCTGAGGCGGGCGACGACCGGTTAGGAATTGACCTGCTGTTCAGTCTAGGTGTAGTAGTGTGTTTGTGGTCAGTCAGTGACAGATTAATCCGTAAGGTACTTTACTGGATATCCTTTAACGCGTGGGAAAGGGCCCTATCTCTCCCCCCCCCCCCCCCATTCTCCTACTCTGGATTGCTTGGTACCCGAAGGTTTGACCACCCCGAGCTTACACTACAAATTCACAGTCTGAATGTCAGTCCATCGGAGTTAAAACCCAGATACCCTGATACCCTGTTCAACCGTGAAAAATGTAATTGGGGTACAGGTTAAGGCTACGGCCGCCTGGTGTAGTCTGCAGAATATACTGCAAAGCAGTGGCGAGGTGTGAGCGATTCGCTTATGTAAGCATTAGCAAGTGACCACTACACTGGAAAGAGTATAGCGTTATATACTTCTCGTTTATTCGTTGCTGAGAATAAGCGTGCACAGCAAGCAGTGTAGTACTAGTAACTGGTAGCTGTCACAGTAAGAAGTTCTGTATTAGTGAGGTAAGAATGCAGCGAGCGTTGTTTTGGCTGTATTGGAGACGTAAACCGAGTGGCGTATTTGTAGTAAACAATAATAATAAATAGTAAAGTAATTTTTCTTTGGCCGATACAAAGTAAGTAGCAATTGCCATTGTTACGAACACGCCTGGCCATTGCAACAAAGATTCCTTTACATACATTAAAAAAAGTATGATATGAACAAACAAAAAAGTATATGAACAAAAAAAAAGTATGATATGAACAACAAAAAGTATGATATGAACAAAGAAAAAGTATGATACGAACAAAGAAAAAGTATGATATGAACAAAGAAAAAGTATGATATGAACAAACAAAAAAGTATGATATGAACAAACAAAAAGTATGATATGAACAAAGAAAAAGTATGATATGAACAAAGAAAAAGTATGATATGAACAAAAAAAAAGTATAATATGAACACAAAAAAGTACGATATGAACATTAAAACATATGTGTTCTTTTACTACATAAATTGTTAAATTTATCTTTTCAGGCCAGAGGTGCTGAAGGTTATCTGCTGCTTGCGTGCATTTGTCTATACCGTTTGTTGGCAGATCAGACATGGCGACCAGACCACGGGGATATGGGTTGACAGGGGAGATAAGCCGCAAAGTAAGTTTCTACGTTCTAGAACGAGTTATATAACTTTGATATACACATACTGTATTTAAATTTGCAGCTGTTTCTAGTTAAATTTTCAGCTTTTTCTTCCTTTTCAATATTAGAACCCTTGGGGTTTATTTAATACTGAATATATCAGCCATCTGCCGTCATCACTGACACTAGCTCTCTGTTTTACATTTGGTGACTGCAAGTCTTTGTAGGTCTGCATGTATATTATCTCCCCATCAACTTCTTGCTCTGCCTCACAGTCTGTTGCCATTTATTTATTATGTGTGAGCAGGGTTCTCTCTCTTCCCCTCTCTCTGTTATGTGGCATTTCAGTTTTCTGGTAATCTTCTTCTTCTGAAAACTGCAGTGGAAAGTTGTGGATGTTTGTCCACCTCTGGACATAGACTTGTTCCAGAAGCTGAGTTTTGCATGCACATCCGTTTAACAGCTCTGACTTTATTGTATGCAGATTGTTGGGTCCTTGGTTCTCAGGCAGATGCACTGTGACTTCAAAGGAAGCCCCTAAATCAATTGACTCTTACGACATGCTTATTAGGGAGGCATTGGGTCTATTCTTACTTTCCCCAGAACGGGACCTCGGAACCCACACAGGGTTCATCTACCAAATAAATGTGTGTTTAGGTGCAAATGTTTAGGTGCAAAGCAATGGAAGAGTTAATATTTAAAAGGTGTTGATAATCTGAGAGACAAGAAAAGGCTTCTGATCTTACTACTGGAAGGTGTACTGCAGGACTATTCAGCTGGCGACCCTAAGAGACAAATCTGGCATGCAGAGGCCCAGCAAGCCACCTGGGATCATAGCCAGTTGTATTGTATTGATGATCTTTGGGGAGTGTGACCCTGGGATCTGGTTGACACTGCACACTCTGAGTACAGGCAAGACAGGACATACGGTCAGACTGCTACTGGTACCATTGGAGTTTTAACTCTTTGCTGGCTGCTGAAGATGACGATGGAGCACTTATGGGAAAACCTAGTGATGTGATGTTGGTTCCTAAAACGCAACTCAGCTTTTGTCTGGGGCCCTTGATATCTGTAGCCATGTACCTCAAGGGTTAGGAATCTGAAGAAGTATGTCCTCCATTGTGTACTTATTTCCTCTGCTTATCTTGCCATCACAATGGCCTCCCCAGTAATCAATAATTAATACAAAACAGGCCTTCACTATTTCAGTCACAGAAGGTTGTGCAGCTGATTTATGAAGGTATGACTGACTTTTTTTTGTCAACACTATACTATCAGTGCCAATGTCCTCCAATGAACGTGAAATTGTGATGAACAGAAATGAAATGCCTTACAAGATCTGCAGGAGTTTCAAGGAAAGACAGAATGTGAAATCACACAATCAGACGAATGCTAGGAATAAAGGAATAACAAATGAATTGGTTTGGACACCTTAGAAGAATGCCCTGGTACTATCTGCCACAGCAAGCCACACTAAAACGTTACAATGGGTATAGAGTGAGTGGAAGACCTCAGAAAAGATGGAGTAATGGCATTAAGAACAGCCTTACAGAAATAAACATCAGTATTGACAGAGCTCATCAACAAATGTAACATCTCCCGCTGACACTTCGCTGAGGTACAAGGTTGAAGAGAAGAAGAAGAAGATGAGTGACTGATAAGAGTGAGAGTGACATTGTCACAGTAATTTAATGAAAGCCACTTTTTTCTAGTGTAACAAAGCAATTGATTTGACTATTGTGTGATCTTTTTAGTGTGTCTGCTACATAAAAATATATTTCTTCATTTTCAGATTGCCAGTAAATATGATGTAAATTTAGAACAAGAAGCCCGTCTGTGGATTGAAGCTGTTTTAGGAGAGCCTATTTCAGTAAGTCCCATCTTTATTGTCTGTTGCTGAGATAACTATGAGAAGACAGCAATAACATTAAAGACATTGGATAATCAACAAAGTTCATACAGTAAAAGTTGATGATGGTTATGAGATGACAGAGATGGATAAGATTAAGCAGTTCCTTCATTACTTAAGATGATATCTCAGGTTTTATCATATCATCTTGTTTTTGGTGTGAATTGAACTCTACTGCTTGTCATACTTTGGCGTACACATTGTATAACAGCTAGGAGCAGACCTATAATAGAGACATTTTACACCCATAAACTGTTTCTCAGACAGTAACAGTTGATGATGGTGGTTACAAGGATACTGTTCAGCAAAACACTGCACATGCACGCACGCACGCACCCACACACACACAAACAACACACACACAACACACACACACACACACACACACACACACACATTCGCACACACACACACGCGTACACACACACGCGCGCACACAACTATTGTTTGGCTGTTTCTAAGCAAATTTACATCCAGTAGTTTGCTTTCTGGACGGTCAGCTTTTGATACCACTGTTGAAACCAACTCAAGGCGGAAGGTCCACAGCTGGAATCGAACCCATCAGCCAAGCATTATGAAGGGCATTTGCAACCCTTAAGCCATAGACACCGACAGAAGAACTGTATGGATCTTTTCCTTTTACATTTGTTAGGCATGCTAGAGATTAGATTAACAATAAGGAAAGTGAGAAAACTGTAATGGCAGTTGAATTGTGGATTCTATTGACAATGCAACATAAAAATGCAATCTTTTCTTCTGCTATATCCCGTGGATTGTCTAAATATTCAGTAAATGGAGTGACTTAACAGATTTAAATTGTAAAGACTTGTTGATGGTCAACAATTGAATTGACTGAGAAAGCTCACTTCACTAATGCTTACTTGGTGTTCACTGATGCTTACTTGACTTTTGCTAAAGAATATGATTTTATTTTCTTGATTAGGATGAAGATTCCAGCCAGCCTTTGGGGATGGACAAATTTCAAGCAGTTCTCAAGAATGGTGTTATTCTGTGCAAGTGAGTGTCCTTTCATTTGACGTGTAAAACAGAAACAGGAAGTGAAACAGGAACAATAATCGCAAATGTTGTGTCTTGTTTCTTGTTACAGTTTAATTTGGGTCAGCCACATGGAACAAGCAATACTTTGTAGTGAATCTGTTGCTGACTCAGCTTTATATCAATTGTTTAAAATGTAGTGGACCCTTCTCTACACCCTTAGTTAGACTGGATATATAGTAAAGATGTACTGGATATATAGCAAAGGTGTATTGGATATATAGTAAAGGTGTATATTTTACCTGCTATCCATAGTAAAAAGGTGTATATTTTTTGACCTGCTATCCACAGTTTTAGCTGGTGGGGTCCCTTAAAAAATGAAAAGCCAAGCTCAGGGTTTTTTGATGGTAAAGTGTGAGATGAGAAGAGCAGAAGCTGGTGGCAGACCATTGGACCTTGAACTCATGATCTTTAGGCCTACAGTAGCATTTAGCTGGTATGCCATGGTCCCTTATAAAATGAATACCAGACAATACTCAGAGAATTGTATATTAAAGAAAAGTGATGGTGAAGGATCCTGAGATGAGATGAGAAGAGCAGAAGCTGGTGGCAGACCATTGGACATGAAGGTTTGATACAGTGAGACTAGAGAATTTCAGTGTTGATGGCAGACCAATTGGACCTGCAGATTTGACACTGTGAGACTAGAGAATTTCAGTGTTGATGGCAGACCAATTGGAGCTGCAGATTTGACACAGTGAGACTTGAGAATTTCAGTGTTGAAGGCAGACCAACAGGATCTGAAGGTTCAGCATAGAATGTCAGTGTTGATTGCCGACCATCAGGACAAGACCAGATGCCTACAGGGAAGTTATAATTAGTGCATCTGTAACAGCCATTGCAGCCTGGTATAATAACCTGCAGTCTCTTAATATTGTGTACATATTAGACTTTTATATATACTGCTAACACCAGGGTGAATATTATGTCCATAGTTGATGTTAATATATATGGCTCAGAGGTTAGGGAACTCATTCAATCAATCAGTGGGTTTGATTGTCATAGTGGATTAAAAAAATTTTTTTTATGCTTTTGGCTTTTGGACAGTGGTGTGAGAGTTTAATCATGGAAGAGACTAGTGCATCACCATGTAATATCCCTCATAGTTAGCAGCAGTGGGTACACTGAGCAACTTTGACGGTGGAAACAAGACAATGTTTAAAAGAAAAATGTATATACCTAACAGCAATGGTATATTATAATCATTCTTTAATATACTAATATTAAAAGCATGAATGGATTGCAACACTCAGCATACAGGTGTTTAAGGCAGTGAGCGTGCAGACTATCTTGCAGACAGTGCAGTTGCTTTGGCTGGTCTGATGTAATCAGCACCATGCTCAGTACTTAACATGAAGGGCATCACTGTAGTATCCCTGTCTAGGCTGATGGACATTTGGGTGCAGCCTGGAGCTGCAAGAAATGAATAGTTTACCAAGGGAACATAACATTTGAATAATCAATACAGAACAGGTGTCACTAGTCTCTTTACATTTGTGGAGGTAGTGGATGTTTTGAGGAGATTAGAAATCTATGGATCTGTCCTGAGTTTGTGTGATGATTATTCTCAATAATCACTGATCACTCATCAAGTATTATAATGATAGTTTGTCTGTGTCGTCAACAGGTTAATCAACAAAATCAAACCAGGCATCATGAACAAGAAGCTAAATACGTCCACAATGCCTTTCTTACAAATGGAGAATGTGAGCAACTTCCTTGAGGCATGTGAAAAACTGGGCATCTCCAAAACAGACCTGTTCCAGACAGTAGACTTGTATGATAAAATCAACATGGTGCAAGTGGTCAACTGCATTTATGCACTGGGACGGAAGGTACAATTTGTCTCTTATTGTTCATTTGCTGCCATTTATAACTTAGGTCAGGGCTATGTAACCGGGGATCTAGCAAGTGGTGTTGCGGACCACCTGCCTTTGTATTAATGGTCTTTTTGTGCTGAGGTTTGGGTGATGATCACAGTATTCCAATACTGTGGCCACTGAGTACGCTTATTTGAATGGTCCTAACTCATGCCAGGTCTTCCTATGTTGTTTCACTGTCTCGGACTCAACACCTGACCTTGCTTATCTTATTAATGTGTTCCTCAAGTTCTCTTTGGTGAATTTTTGTTGTTGTTTTTGTTCTGTTGAAAATAAGATTTCCATTTTGATTTCACTGCAAGGATGCTCAAGTTGTATTATGAAGTTGTCTCAGTGAGTATAATATCCATTGGTAGCATCTGTTCCTGACCTGTTGATTCCACTTCCACTTCAGTGTAAGTTCTAAAGCAACATATTAGTGATTGAAATTGTGGGTGTTGAGATCTCCTTCTTGTTGTTCAGTGTCAAAAGTAAGTTTGAGCCTGCATCACCACAGAGTTTGTCATCTATTGTTACAGGGACATAGGTTTGTTTGTCTCATCTCTGGCATAGGCTGAAAAAGTGGTGTTTGGCAGAAGTTGTCTTCTTCTTGCCTTTGAACTTATTCCAAGTCTTCCTATTGGTATTCACTGTGTGTGTGGCTCAACCCACACCCCCCCCCCCCCCCCAATTACAGTTTTACCTCTTGTGCTTGTGTTTTTTTTTTTCTTTGACCTGAAGTGTTCCACCGCAAGGATGTGATGGTTATTATTTGAAAATGAACTGAGAATGTGCCTAAAAGTGTTTCTTCAAGTGGTGGTCTGGAAACAAAACATGTAGTGGCTACATAAGTCCGGCAGTACACTTGTGCAGAGATTTGTGTATATGTAAGCAGCAGTAGATGTTTGCATGAGCAGAAAAATGTAATGCATTGACATTGCATCTAAAAAAAAAAAAAAAAAACTGATGTTTACATGTGTTTCTGTCCACTGGTGTAAGAAAGTGTGAAGAACACTGGTCTGAAACAGACCAGTCTGTCAGTCATTGTCATAACCAGGGCCTGTGTGTGTTTTCCTCGCTGATGCAACAGATGAAGATGTTGATTAGCTGTATGGAATGAATGGATGCAAGCAGAGAGTTGTTTCATTTAATGAGAGGTAAGATGTGGAACTTATATGAAGAAGGGAAAAAAAAAGAGAGAAAACTGAGCACTAGAGACTTCTTTCATGCCAGTGAGAAATGAAAACCTGGCATGCGTGTAACAAAGAGCATTAGGATAATGCAGAAGAGCTGAAAACAACAATGGTAGTCTTAACCCTATCAACTGAGAAGCCATGAAGCAAACATTAAATTTTGTGATTCAATTCCCTAAATGGCCCTGATTGTTGTAATGTTTTGTTTGAGGGTTGATAAATTAGGGGCTTCAGTGTTTGCGCCCCCCCCCCCCCCCACGGTATGTTGTGGGAGAGTGAGAATGATAAGTAGAGCGAAGATTTAATATGGCTTCTGTCTTGAAGAGGAAAAGGACAGTGGAATTGTTTTGAGTTCAGTGATGTGCGATGCTGCTGTTTCTAGTTAGACATCTAGAAGTTACTGGTGCCCTCTCATCCAGGTGTTAGGACACTTATGTTGCCCAGATCACCAATTGAATGTTCTATTACTTTATTGTGGTTCCGAAATGCTCTGATCGTCTAGTCACTGTCTTTTGTTCTCACTGTTCTTACTAGGATCAATCATCAATGGTTACCATTAAACTCTGTTGCCTTGCATTTCATTCATGTGAGGGACAGGTGAAGGACTTGCATCTCCGCAAGTCTTTACTGGCGTTCAGGGTGCTAATTAAACTCTTTGAGTCACAGGCCCAAGGGATAGTAAAGAAAGTAATAAAATTGGCGCATCTTGTGTTTATTGGGCTTATAGGTAGGAATCTATGAATGTATGATGCGTTTCTTGGGACTCAAAGAGTTAAGAGAGCTGTTGCTCGGCCATTCATGCCCAGGTAGCAGAAACTTCTGAACACTGTCAACTGGCACACTGGATAAGTCATTGTCTTGTGGGAAATCAACATTTCACTCAGGCTGCCAACATCCAAACTCCTTCGGTGTGTTTTCTCACCTTCAAACCCCTGCTGTTGTAACTCCTTCAGTGTGTTTTTTCGCTTGTAACTGTTCATCCAAACACAGAAATTTGCTCATGTCTCTCTCAAACTGCCCCGTGACCCCATTTAATCACTGGGGAATCCTTAGGGATTTCCACCTCACTACAGATATCAGTAAACTGTCACACTTGGTGGATGATGGGGTGTACATTATGCTGCTGTTTTCCTGGTACTACTTCCAGGCTGGTTAGACTGAGTAGTTAACTATAGTTGTAATGCTGTTCATTGTTATTATAGTATATGTGAAAATATGATTTGTGATCAATTTCAGGCACCCAAAGTTGGCTATGATGGTCCTACATTAGGTGCCAAAGAAGCAGATCACAATCCTAGGAACTTTGCACCAGAAACTCTCAATGCTGGGCAGTCAATTATTGGACTTCAGATGGGCTCAACCAAGGGGGCATCCCAGTCTGGCATGAGCTTTGGTCGCAGCCGTAGCATCAACGAACATGGGCAGAATGGTCATTAATTGGTAGAAAAATGTGCAAATTGTTTTATGTTATATCTGTTGATTGCTATCTTTTGACTGTTTATAAAACAAGGAAACATACCTCATATTATGCAAGCAAGTAAATTTTACAAAGTAACACCACAAATGTAACAGAAAACAAGTTTAGAATTGTAATATTTGCCAAGGACATCCATCAATACTAACTGAGCTGCTCCTTCATTTACAACCCAGGCAGTTATGACTTATATCGAAAATGCAGTGCATAAGTAGATTTATGATTCAGTATATAATGAGCAGTAGTCATTACTAGGCATTTTAAAGACATGTAATGGAGTGTGAGGAACAAGTAATATTGTCTTTGAGAAGTTTGTATGTGATAGTAGGGTTAGGGTTTTAATGACATCTGTGTTTATAACATGTTATTTTGGGGAAATCAGATGTTGCATTAAGTGGGACTGGAAAGAGCAGGTATTTTAGAAAGGAGCAAATGAGAAGTAAGATGTGAAAGATTTCTATGCCAACAGTTGTCCTGAAATCCCACTGTGGTTGTTGTGGGTGGGTGCTGCCAGTTAGACTCGCCATGACAATATAACACTGTAGCAATGAATGAGATGTTAAATCACATCAGTTGTATGTAAGGAGTAATCAATTGTTTAGAAGTGAGATATATAGATGAACTGCAGAGCAATTAGTGAATATACACTAGATGTTTTAAAAATATGTATATTTTTAATGTGTGCTTTGTACTGCAGCATTTTTAATAGTAAATTGCAGTGATTTTTTTTTTAAAAAGAGGTGCCAAAGAAATAAAGCAGACTGGAAAGCATAAAGGAGATAAGCCTGCATCGAAGAATTTTAATACATTAGTCAAAAGTGTTGTCTTAATAAACCAAAACTTTGTTGTTGCAGTAAGTGAAATCCATATGTACAGCATGTCATGTATGTGTGTTTCCTTGATGGCATTGTGCTCGTGTAGGTTTTATGTAAAAGGTTTTAAAACAATTGTAACGTTCTGAGGCTCTTATATGCACACAGGATTTTATTTTGGGCTTTCATTTGTAATTTCATTTAAACTCCAGAATGGTGAATCCAAAATAAGGAAAAATATTGTAAGAGCTGGTTACATTAGGAAGTGAAAAATGGCATGCTGAGAATAAAGTCGCTAATATTGCCATACAGGAAGACTTGAGAAAGTAAACATGTTTGTCAACAATGAGCTGAAAGTACAGTCATCTTTACACAAGTGAAATTATATAAGCGCATATGAATGCAATTTAAAAAAAAATTAGCAAACATAAAGATATAGTTTGGCAGAAGTTTAATGTCTAACTCTGCTGAGCATTGATACTTATTGTATATGATGGCGAATCATTATTGCATATGGCAGCGCAAGGAGTAAATGTGATAATTTAGAGATGCTAGCTATGGCAGTAAATATGGGTGGAGCATCATATGGCCAATTTTATGAGTAATGTAACTGCTGCATGATATTTATGTTTTATCTTCCTCACATGTGCATGGGACCAAATGTATATTTTATCTATAACCATATAACTACGTACACAATGTGCATGGCCATGTATTTTATGTGGACTGTTCTTCATGCATCTTGTGACTGTTGCAGCTGTTCCATTGTAATACACAAATTTGAGCTTTCCCAGAGTTGCCTTCAGAACACATTCCACAATGTTTGCCTTCCACTAGTGGGGAGGTTGTGTTGCAACATTTTGCCTTGTGTGCTATTATGCAGTGAATGTGATATTGTTTGGGAAAGCAATGCTAGGTTGTGCATCATTACTGGCACAAAATGCAGCACAGAAGGCCTTGATAGCTGAGACAGCCAGGTGTTGCGAGAATAAAAAAAAAGCATCTGAGAGACAACAAATCTAAAGTCTTGAACATTCATACATTGTTCTGTTTGACATGGAAAATGTTTTTTTATATCAATTTATTTGTGTGTCAATCATGATTAAAAAAGAAATAACGAAGTAACCCCACCACAGAGAGAGAAAGACGTGGGAACTTGTGGGGGGGGGGAAATCTTTAGCCCTCCTCAGTAACCCATAAGTGCTCCGTTCTTCTTCTAAAAAGGCTTGTGCCCTAAGAAGCTCAGTCAGGGGGGGGGGGGGGGATTTGCAATGCCAATGGCATTTTTCTACGTGCGCAACAATACACACGGGCGTCCAATCTTACTACTCAGAGATCATGGGCATTACTATACCAAGTCCACGTGAAAAAAAATCAGAGCTCTTAACGGGGATTGAACCCGGAATCTCCAGCACTCAGGCAGATACCATGACTCAAAATCACACAGCCCTTTTCCCCCGTTTTTAATAAACTATTTACACTGAAAGTTCTCTTTAGACATCTATTTATTATTAATCTGCTCCATGTGTGGGTTCCAGGGCTCCATTTTAAGAACAACAAAGAATACATCCACTACTTCAACAGGCAGATCGTAGCTAGATCCACTACTTCAACAGGCAGATCGTAGCTAGATCCACTACTTCAACAGGCAAATCGTAGCTAGATCCACTACTTCAACAGGCAGATCGTAGCTAGATCCACTACTTCAACAGGCAGATCATAGCTAGATCCACTACTTCAACAACAGGCAGATGATCATAGTGAGTGATTAATACAGGGTTAATACAGGGTGTATGTGCCTGACGGTTAAGGAACAGTCAGGGTGAATGCTGAGAAGAAGAAATTGTCATTTATCATTAAGTACTTAAACAAGGTTGAAGCCATGCCTGAATGTACCGGGTTACGAATACCAGATTAAAGAGAGAGTTAAAAGAGTGGCCGAATGACAAAGATAGTTTCGGCCTAAGTGAGAATACAGCCAGACCAAACTGCACAGCAAAAAACATCTGGAAGGGAGGTGAGGATGAAGACCAACAAAGAGGTGGATACTGGGCTACCAAAACAGATGAAGACCAACAAAGAGGTGGACACTGGGCTACCAAAACAGATGTGAAAACATCCTGTGAAAAACTGAATCAGACCATCGGAACTGCTTGCTGTTGAAGATGGCGAAGGAGAGCATATAGGACTATCCTTGTACTGTGACGTCTGATCCTAAAATGGCCTTCCTCTTGGCATTCAATCACTGTGCTGTGACGTCTGATCCTAAAATGGCCTTCCTCTTGGCATTCAATCGCTGTGCTGTGACGTCTGATCCTAAAATGACCTTCCTCTTGCTGTGCTGTGACGTCTGATCTTAAAATGGCCTTCCTCTTGGCATTCAATCGCTGTGCTGTGACGTCTGATCCTAAAATGGCCTTTCTCTTGGCATTCAACGCCTGAATTTTCAGGTGTCCACTACTTCAGTCTCGTTTTACAGACCCCACTTGCCTTTAAGGCCCTAACTGCATCTTAGGCTGCCTCCAACCACAAATCTTCACTGAGGCAGCTGATGAAATAATCCTGACCAGCATAAAGTAAAAAAAAAAAAAAATCACACAACATATTTCTTCCACTTGCGCCAGACGTGGTCACCCGGTAACCATGAAATGAAATCGGGAATCAGGTCATATGAGAGTAATTCTACATAGACAAGCAAATAATGTCTTAAGACGCCATACAAGAGCTACAGCAAAACACGTAGCTCACAAGGTAAATCCAGAACATGGAAAATCTTGTAGTTTGCATCCTATCCTACCTGCCCTTCGAGTCACAAACTCAACAGGAATATGCCAGTAACTTATGAGTTTCCGATAACTAACTCTGCAAGCCTAGACGACCCACTGTATCTGCATGCTCCTGTCCCACTTGTTGACATTCATGTTACAGCCTACTGTCGCAAGTCTCTCTTCATTTAAAAGGACACAACCATGCCCTCACCACTTTTTAAAAAAAAATGAATCAGGCTACTTGCAAAAAAAAAAAAATGTAGTTCTAAAAGTCTAGACCTCATTGTCGGCTCTGTGGTTAAGTCGTAATGCCGGGTTCGATCCCAAGTGCGGGCGATGCGCCTTGCGTTGGTTTCGATAGTGGTATCAAGAATGCGGACCGTCCAGTAGCAATGGCAAACTACTGGAGGTAGATTTGCCTAGAAAAACCACACATTCATTCCCACTGCAGTACGTCATGCCGAACTGGAAGCGATCCCCAACTCCTTACTTGTCTTTTTTATGGACCACCTTGAAAAAGAGATGCGTTCTGCGTACCAAGCAATTTTTTTTTTTTTTTTTTTTGAACTTATACAAGAGATGATCACTTCGTCAGAATGAGGACTCCTTGTAGAGGGAGACGAAGCTCTATCGAATCTTTAACCGGAATCAATCATCCCGGACGCGATCCAGAAACCCCGGTTAACCGTTAATGATTTTTAGGGCCCCCCAACAATAGCCGGGGTGGGGGCTTTAAATCAAGGAAAATTTGCGTCCATATTCGGACGGTGCAATCTTTAACTAGATAAACCGAAATGAGGTCTTTTGAGAACACACCCCCCCCCCCCCCCTACTTTTTTTTCCCCAAAAATTCAGACAATGCATAGCGATAAGGTCCGTTGTGGTGGGAAAAAATATTTACACAGAATGCAGTCTAAGCAAAGCCAAGACAAAATGAATACTGTAATTTTTTTTAAAAATACATATTGAGAGCAACAGACGTCGTTTCATAATTCGAAAAAAAAAAAAATGCAAAACGCTCACTTGTGACATTCCAGCATTCCCCAGAGGGTTACCACTATAAGAATCCAACACCCTCTGGGGGAGGCTGGTCGTTACACCATCTATTCATTATTACGAGTCTTTCCATAATTATTTATTAAACTTTTTTTTTTTTTAAAGAAGAAATTATCACAGAAATATATGGACCAGACCGCGATTCGAACCCCTAGATGAAAGCAAGAACCCGCAATAGAAGAAACGATGTAACCCACTAAGCCACGCGTGAGACAAACGTTGGCTACAATTTAGGCTTCTTGTTTAACCCAGCGCTGAGTTATGTTTAGACATGGATGGAGGAACTGGTTTTGAGTTGAGGTCAACTACAGCTGTTCTTCTGTTTGA